TATATATATATATATATATATATATATATATATATAATCCCACTTGTTCTCGGAGAATATATTGGCAAATTATATATTTAGATTTTTGAGATATTTCTAAAGACATAATTTACTAAAATACCCCTAAACCGTAAAGTATACCAACACTTGTAGAGTACACATTTTTAACAAATGTTGCAAAATAACTACCAAATACAATGCACATTTTTATTTTTAAAAAATATTTGAACAGCTTATTATTTTGCATAATTCCTCCAAGCGAGGATAACTGTTACTATAATTCTATAATAATTACAACAATTAAAACCACTCCGAATCTATTTAAATAATACAGTGGAGAAGACAATGACAAAGGCCTGAAATCAATATATGACTTTTTACAATATCATGTAATCAAACTCTAAAGTGATGGTGAAGATAACTAGATTTTTCAATGGTGAGAAAAACGACTGCCAACTAAACATAAAATTGCTGAACAAACTAATGAAAAACAAGCCCCTTAAATAAAAAAACAATAAATAACAATCATATTCCCCGAACATCATAATTTAAGGCATAAAAAAATATCAATATTTGGATCTTAACATCTACTGAACCTGATTATGTAAAGCTGAAACATTGGACCTCAAAATTTGATTCTCTAGGTAAAATTTTATGCTGATTCAGCATGATTGTGACCATATCTTGGCACTTGATGCCCTGAATATCCCCTGTCTTGACGAGTACTTGGTCTATAGAAACCGTTTCCTTTGGGTTTGTTAAACTCGCGTTCACCTCCATCTTGGCCACTTCCTCTGCCAAAGCTCCTTGAACCAAAACGCCCTCTTTGTGTCTCTGATTGATAGCTAATCCTACCTCTACCCCTCCCTGTTCATAAAAAAGTGAGAACAAATCACAAAAAGCAGTTTATAGACTCTTTAACTATGCAGATAAATTTAAAATAAAATATAAAAAAAAGGATCAACATCATACCGTGTAGATACCAAATTATGCTTAGACACTAGACATGGTATCATTATACCATTGACTAATTCATGAGCCAGTATTAAATCAAGCTTTATGGTGGGTCAAATCATAACATACATCTTTGTCCATGTCATTAGGAAGAGCCCACCAAAAAGTGAGCTGATGCTGGCATCGATTTGTAACATGAAGCTAACTGCTAACATAGTCTAAAGCAGATTATTTGTAATTTCTCAGAATTGTCATTTGAGAATCCATGCACCCCATATATGTTGAGTCAAGGACATTGATGACAGATAACTTTTGGGGAAGAAAAACACAATAAACAAGAAGCAAAACATAGAAAAGAAGGCATACTTCCTCCTCGGGAAGGGATGTTACTGTTTGGTCTCCGCTCTTCAATGTATACTGGTCTTCCTGCTACCTCAACAGATCCTGCCTGCAAACATACAAAACAAACACAAGTGAACCACATATGAAATTGGAAAAACGTGACTTGCAAAGCAAAACTCAGAAATATAACAAAGATGAGAAACAGCTCGAGTCTGTTAGATCAATAATGCTGATCAAAAACTTGTGATCATTGTGAGCAACTAGTATGTTCAACATTATTTTTTTCTTTAGGGGTGTTATTACATCACAAGTATTTCACATGCAGTAGATATCTTAAACTAATCATTTAAAACAAAATTCAAACCTTGATTGCATTGTGAACCCCCATCATATCTTCAAATTCAACAAATGCATAGCAAACTCCAACATCCTGGAGATAACAGAAATTTTAGCTTTGTAATGGGATATAAATGAATTAATATAATTATTTGAAGCATAGTAGTCAATCCCAAATACTGTGCAGAGTGCTCGACCGCAAAAACACTAGCAAGTAGCAAGACAACTGCTATTTCAAAGTTGATATACACATTACATAAATTACACTACAAATATCTAAAGACATTCAAAATGGATGGATGAAGCCATTATTGTTGAACGATGGGAAGACAATAACGGATTAGAAGAAGTAAAAAAATAAAGAGTAGAGTTTAGAAGAACTAGAGTAGAGAGCACAGAACACTGAATAAAGGACCTATAACAGGCTAAGAGAGGTGAGAGAACAAAGGATAAAACAGAGTAACATTATATGAGTCAGGGGTTGGCCAGAACAGTGACAAGCTTGCTAGTGAATGCCCGAAAAAATTGCTGTGATGTTAGAAAGATGGGTCTCTGTCAGAGAGAAGGGTTGAGGTTACTCAACTGAGTGGGTGGAGCATGCAAGTGAGGGTGGAAAAAGGTTTTCAGATCTGATTACATGAAAACGGCGAGAAATCCTAAGATTGACCAAATAAAACAGTACGACATGACACCATTCCATTCCAGGGCCAGAAAAGGGATTTTCATTTGTAAACATAATAGCAAAAGAAACAGCTGCAATTTCACCCAAAGCCCCAAAATTCACACTGCTATAAACAACCGTTATGCAATAGATAGACCACACAGAAGCTGTAGGGAGTCACAGTGCAACACCACTATAGCAGCACTATCATGTGCAGTTGACTAAAATGATTTGAAGACCTACCTTGCGACTTCTTATGACTACACCATCAGGCCGGATCCTGCCAAAATTTTTGAATTCCTCCTCAATTTCAGAAGCAGACACAGCAGGAGACAAGTTTCTCACATAAACAGATTTGATTTCATCTGAAGGCATTGTCAATCAAATAATGTGTTACTGATAAATGAGTACATCATAAAAATAGAAAACTACATACATACAAGCAAATGAATGATTCTTCTAACCAAATTAGCTTATTAGTGAAAGGAAGACACGATGAGCAGTCGTAAATGAGCATCAACACCAACGAGCAACTATCCAAAAAAAACACTAAAAATTGAAATAATGAGTCTCAACAATTACACACAGTAACCTTCATCTTCTGTTGTTGGAACCTCCTCCACTACATCAGCTTCAGACCTTTCAAATGCATTAGTCGATGTTGTTTGCTGACTATTGATCAATGGAGCACAATCCCACTCCAAAGAGGACACATTCTTCTGAGATGGCTGAGAAGATACGGATGGTGTAACTTGTCCTTTAGCAACCCGTAACTTCCAACAGTTTTATAGCATAGTCAGTTCCAGTGTCATAATCTCAAAAGAAAACATTGTGCACAAAGTAATCTATTGGTTAGTTTGCACATACAATAGAAGCATAAGTATGCTTCTGGGGCTCCTCAGGAGGTTCTTCAGCCGAAGGTACATGATCTTGCACAGCATTCATTATAGGTTGAAGTGAACCATGCGACTCCTGAGAAACAACATCCTCATGAATATGTTCAGAATCATGGACTCGTTGCATTTGTTGTTGTGGAAATCCATAATTGTCGACTGCACCATTTTCTTTGACCTCATTCGTAGCAACAATGTCCCTTGCCTGCATATCTCCACCCAACAGGTAGTTGGACACTGTAAAACCCATAGATCTCAATTACTTAAAAAAAAAAAAACTACAGTTTCAAGAATTGATTATATACTCTGTAGTCAGCCACAATGGTTATAAAATCTAAAGTAATTTCTGGTGACAGGATCTAACTGCTAAGTTTCAAGTTGTTAACAGCAAGAATACAGTTGTCAATGTGATAATGGCTGGTGACAAAGATGACTGATGATGATGTAGAAAATACAACAATTACATAAACAAAAAACATGGCCCTGCATTAATAAGCTATATAGGTATCAGTAGTACCCAATGCAATGGATGCCAAAATGATAATAACTTGGGAATAAGGGAATAAACAAGCTCATTAAATTAACAGTGCCTTTTCATTTATCTTCTAATTACAATAAAAAACAAGCAAAGCAAGAATTATAACATTCAAGCAAAACTCAAAAGAACCCTGAGGCTGAAGCAGAACGTGCCTGGTATATTAATTGTGGTAGGAGCATTCAATTTTGAATCAAGATTGCTCTGAGTTAAAAAGACAGGTTGGTGATGATGAACTAGCTCCTCTTCAACAAAGTGAAAAATATCATTGAGCACAAAGTATCCCTTGTCTTGAGGTGCAAGGAAAAATGTTTGCATAAACTTCCTCCTCAAACCGTAGTCCTTAAGTTGCAAAGATCCAGAAACCATGACAAGAACTCCACCACCCCAAGATCCCAGAGATTGTGCCGTCTTGATTTCAATTCCCGTAAAACTGAGTGACATAACAAGTTTATGGATTTCCTGCCCAGAGAGAAATTACTTTAATTATGGGGTAAGAAAGAGCTTCACTACAATTACACAAGTACAGAGCAGAAGAAACCGTCCAATCCCTTCAAACAATTAATAAATTAACTAAATATACTGAAAGAAATTGAAAACAGCATTCAGAACCCCCTTTTTTGATCCATAGGAATTGCAATGACTTGCAACAGAATTCAAATCTAAGACCCTATGTATACTATTTCAATCCCCACCACTATGCCAACCCAAGTGATTCGAGAACCCCTTATCAAGGATAGAAAAACTGAAAATGTCCAATAATACATTCTAATAATGCAATCATATGTCCAAACCATAATATAAAAGCCAAAATATAAAGGAATATGAAAAGGGAAAATGTAGTTAAATAACGAACCAGCATTGCAGTGGCAGTGTCCCTGACGTTGCCATCGATGCGTAGCATGGTGCTGGCGTCAGAGTAGAACTGATGCACCAACTCGGGGTCGGTCTCGAGAACATGGTAGTACTGCCCCACAAAGTAAGTCCCAACCTGGAGAAAACAGAAAAAGATTGGTTTTTTAGGCAAAATAGAATGGTTGAGAAAAAGGGCATGAGAGAAAAGAAGAGAACCTGAGCAGGGGAGAGGAGAAGGGGATAGGGCGTGGCCATCGTAGAAAACCCTAATCAAAACCTGAGCTGAGATCCCCTTTGAGATCTGCACCACAGGCAGAGGGTGAGGTTTGAGAGAGAGATTTGGGTTAGTTAATGTTGTTTGTGGTGTGGTGTGCTGAGGTTCAGTTTTGTTTTGTCTGGGACTGTGTTGTTGATATCATATTGTTGGATGGAGGAAGCAGCATGCTGCACCTTTCTCCCTTTTCCTAAGCCTCCCCCACTATCTTACTTTTTTTGTCCACAAATTATAATTATAACCCTTTATTATATTTTTAACATCCATGTGATTTCCAAAGAGAAATTAATATTATACATGTACAATAAATTCTACTATAATTTGTTAATGAAGAAAGAGAAAAAGAGGAAAGACAGAAAGAAAAAAAAAAAAAAAGCAATAGGCTTAAATGTTTATTTTATTGTAAACATTACTTTTTAAGCTATTATAGTTATAAATATTTTGTTTTAATTCTTATATGTGACAATTTTATAATTTCATAAATTTTTTATTTTAGTTTTTATAACAAATAAGTTATAAGAATTAAAAGAAATGATAATATATATATATATACAAAGAATAAAATATATACCTTTAACTATAGAGATTAGAAAATAAAATTTATGAAACCAAATGGGCTAAATAAAAACTTAAACCAACTTAAAATATATCAAATGATATGATAAAGAAGATAAATACAAAAGGTGATATTATAGATATGTATATATGTATTAGAAGATTGCTAATGACACACTCTCAAATATATTTCTACATTTTTTTTTTATAAAATGATTGATTTTGTTGTTTAAGGCATTAGTTGCTTAAATTAAGTTTTATGCCTTTTAGATTAATAAAACTGAAATCACTAAAATTGATGGTAGGATTGAGAACTTGAGGATAATGTGGATAAGGTTATATTTTCGAACTTTGTTACCATAATTATAATCTTTCTAATTGGCAAAAAAAATTTAATGAAATTAGGTACAATCATTTAATTTTTAAAATAGTGTGAATAAACATTTCATATGAGAATAATATTAGAATATATGGTAATATGCTAGAAATACAAATTTAGTCCAAGTATTAATATTTTGTTTAATTTATCTATATATATATATATGTGTTGTATTGATTAGTTTATAATTATAATATTTAATTGTGCCTCCTTATTTTAATTTATTGAATACTTTTACTCTAATTTTAAATTTATTTATTTTTTATCTCTCATTGTTTCCAATTATATTTTTTGTGTTTTGTATCGAAAAACTTATGAAAATGAAATAATGGGCAAGATCTTTCTTTACAAAGTCACAAAGGTAACTTTATTTTTGTCTTTATTTGAGCATCTCCATGAAAGACAAGACTGACCTTCGATTATTGTTCCTGTAAAATGATAGTTTTATTGTACAATAATCAATCACTATTGGGTTAATAAATTAATTTGTAACTAATAAATATTTAGTAATTTGCTGAATTAGTCTTTGAATAGATACCGCTAGTCACTGGGAGTCCCTTTATTAGAGAGTATGTTTTTCTTTGCCTCCTGCGTTTTTATGTTTTCATACTGATTAAAATAAGTCTTTGAATTACAAACACTAATTAATTTAGTTTCTAAAATTATAAAACATTTGAACATGTTGGGTAAACTTTTTCATAATACCATTTTAGAGAAGTTCATAAAAAAGTAATTCTCCAAATTAACTTAACCTGTGTTATAAGCTAATTTTAGTATATAAAAAAACTTACTGCATTTTTCTTTCTTACTTTTCTCTCTTAGAAAAGCTTTAAAAAAATTTACATAAACAAATCTCTTATCTTTTTAAAATATCAAATATCGATCATTTATTTCTATTATCGTGATTTTAAGGAGTAACATGATCAACATTTGATTAGTTCAATAAGTAAAAAATGATTGTTATTTAATAATTTTAGTGACTAATATGATATTTTTGTAATTTTGGAGATTAAAAGGACTAGTATTCAATTATTCATAAATTAAGGATAAATATATTACACTATAAATATTGGTTGTGATATTAACATTATTATACGAAAAATATACATTCTTCCTCTACACTAAAAATATCCTTCAACTAATTTTGGAAATGATTGTCCATTTGCTCGGGTACATGAAGATGTTGTACGTTGGGAATAACTATAGAACATCTCAACATCCACACAAGATTCAAGAGACTGTTGAACTCGATACAAGCTACAGTAAATTTCAGCTAGACTCGGATATTTTTTGGTACTTGAGAACCAATGCAGTTAGTTCTGAATGTTTTATCTCGTATCTTGTTTTGCACTGCTACATCATATATTTTTTCCTTGTACAATCTTACAAAAAACGGGGGGAAAGTGGAAGACATGCGACACTTCAGGCATAGGCTTCTTCCATGAAAAATCTAACAAACACGCATCAAGTGGACATTAAAAATATTGTTGCGGAAGTATGAAGCATTCCGATGTGGTTACATCAAAGCAAACACTGTTTTATTCTCACTTTTTCTCTTTGGGAGGGAACCTATTCCTAGATTAAGATCATATTACACTTTGCTGACCAAAAAAACTTGGGACTAGTCAATGCTCCAAGATTACATAGAACTAAAATTTCCAGTTCCTAGGTGCATTTTCGGATTTTATGCTGCCTTTAAGGACCTTTTTCTTTCCTACATGATCAATTTTATCCTTAGACACAGGCTCCCTGTGTTTTCTTGTGTCTGGAGGAATATCAGTAACGTCATGTGGTTTAACTTTACACTGTGCATGATCAATTTTATCCTTGGACCCATGCTCCCTGTGTTTTCTTGTGTCTGGAGGAATATCAGTAATGTCATGTGATTTAACTTTACAGTGCGCATGTCTATTTGGTAACACAGCATCATTCTTTGAAGCAGAAAGTCTTCCATCTCTAATCTTGTTTCTATTTCCGATCATTACGTCATTATCTAAGTGCAAAATTGAAACAGAATGAGGTCAGCTCTGTAAGATATCCAATTAGCATGCACACAGATATCTCATCTGCGAATAAAGAACTAGGATCAGCATACAACATAAATAATGGAGCTCCCAATAATTCAAAATATCCAATTTTATTTCATTCTCTTTTAATGGCAGAGTATTGGACTCACATCCGTGTAGGATATGAACATGCTTCTTATCAACTTAACCAATCTTTGTTGTGCTTCGTAAAATAAACAATTAATTTGTCTTTCCTTCTCCATCAATCAGAAGTGAAAGTTATTTTAAAATATTTTAGGTTTCTTACCAGTGGTCAGAACTCAACCATGTGATAGTTATCTTAAGAGTCTATACTATCACTTTATGTGCACTATAGGTTTTGAAGCCAACCCTCCAATTTAATTTCATTGATTTAAAACAGAAAAGTGGAAAACCAGCCTATCTACAACCCGCTGTTCAGGTTTCAGAATAGGAAACCGGAGTGAAAAAAATCAAGAAAACCACCGGTCATCGCACAACATAATAATTCAACACTATTATCATGGTATGATAACTTGAAAATTCTGGTAAAACATACATTTACAACTGTTATTTGAATATTTCACTTTTGAGACTGTGAAATATTCCAAAATACTAGTCACTATAGCAAAGCATTTCAGCCACTAAAACAAACTAAGTCTGAGATTCAAAAGGAAATTTTATTTTGCATTTGTTTTACTTCAAAAACCTAATAAATTTCTCCTAATTGAATGGAGTTTGAATTAGAGTTATTAGCCTTAGGAATTAGAAGGGATTTGGAATTAGGCATAACTACTTCTAAATCGCTATTGGTTAGTTTATGATTTAATTTAGTTAGGTATTTGGAATTAGGTTAGTTTATGACTTAATTTAGTTAGGTATTTGGAATTAGGCTTTGCTACTTCTAAATAGCTATTGATTAATCTAAGGCTTAATGTAGTTAGGGATTTCAAATTAGGCATAACTACTTATAAATCGCTATTGGTTAGTTTAAGACTTAATTCAGCTAAGCATTTGGAATTAGGCTTTACTACTTCTAAATAGCTATTGGTTTAATCTATGGCTTCATGTAGTTAGGGATTTGGAATTAGACTTGACTACTTCTAAATAGTTATCGAATAGTCTAAAGACTTAATGTAGTTAAGGATTTGGAATTTGACCTAACTACTTACTTTTAAATAGCCATTGGTTAGTCTAAGGCTTATTAGAGTTATTATTATTATTAGCCTTGGGAATTAGGAGTTAGGGATTTTGAATTAGGCCTAACTACTTGTAAATAGCTATAGGTTAGTTTAAGGCTTAATGGAGTTTGAAAGGTGGTATGTCTCAGAAAGCTTCATTACAGTTGTTCAGAATTATTGATTAGAAAGAAAACTTAAGTAGAGAGTAAGAGGGAACACGGAGGCTTTAGCCAGATTAGATACAATGGTTAATACTTGATAACCATTCATACAGCACTTACAAATAATACGGATACTATGATACATTTTATATTGGGCACAATCCGAAAGTTAATTCCTAATAATATAATACCGAATTATAGTCCTTGACAGATGTAAATGCCGCTATCACAAACTCAAAGATCCAGTTTTCCTTGAAATATTCTAAGTACTCCAAGGTTTTTCTGCATGCAAAGTGCTTCAGTTACCTTTAAAGTATTTCAAATTTGCTCAGGTTTTCATCTAAAAGCTCATTTTCTCAACATGAACATGGAGTATTGCATCCTTCTAGAAGAAGTTCTAATGATAAATAAAACAAAAGTTACTTCCATATCTTCTAACAGGATCTCTACCAGCAAATACTTCACTTGTGTTTTAATGGCCCATCAAGAGAAACACTAGACATTCTTATCCATATTGTTAATCAAATTGTTCTTACGATCAACCTCCATGTCAATCTTCATATTCAGATAAAAATCAGATATTCCAATTGAAAAGGCATATAAATAAACTTAAGTAACCAAACAATCAATGAAAAGTATGAGATTTTACCAGGACTAGAAATGACAGCACGAGGGGGAGGAATTGAACTGGCTCTAATATTTACTTTATTTTCATCGATACTGTCATCCTTCTCAGATCCTGTAGCTCCTGAAGAATCAGGTGACAAACTGAAGTCTCCAGAATCTTCAGTTACAGGGACTCTTGGAATAGTTACCTGCGGCACATAACACTTTGGTGCTTTGACAATCGATGGCATGGTAACAACTTTCCTGTCCGTCACTGTATATACGACAATAGTTATTTTATTCTATATTTAGCAAATGAATACAATAGATAATAATAACCCACAGAAGTTTTGCTAACTGCTACCCAGATTATGCATGCAAAAAGAAGAATGAAAATGTTTAACATAATAGTGTCAATATTGCATTTATGCAATACAAATCACACTCTCATTCTGCAAACTTAGGCCAAATTTATAGGGAAGAACTAAAACTAACAAAATGGAAAAGGAAATACAGACAACACCATTCATCAATGTGATCACTAACCCAATTGTTGCTTCAAATAGTTTTCCTGCAAAGCCTATGCATGTTATGTTATGGGCTTCATTCTACAAAGGTTGAGGCCAACGGCTACCCATCTTCTAATTAGGCTGTTCACAGTTTGGATTTTTCAAAAATCGAACCAAACCAAACCCACGATTTTATAAAAACGGTTTGTTTAACTGAACCATCTTTTTATAAAGCGGAACAGTTCAAATTTTTCTAAAAATGGTATGGGTTTATTCAAAAGGTTCGATTTTTTAAAAGAACCAAAAATAGCTTTATAACCGAACTGCTTTTACTAAGTGGTTTGGTTTGTTTTTTATTAAAACAATGTTGTTGTTTTTTTATATATAATCTGAATCGGTTCAATTTTGCATAGGTCCAGTTCAATTTATTTCACACAACGTTAAGCATGGAGATCAACATATAGATTGATGATGTGAAGGAGCAAGGCTTATAAAAACTGAAGCTCTTTGGGATCATAACGTCTTCTATGTCAAAAGAAAAGAGTAAGAAATATTAATGATTGAAAATTACAAGTACCTGGAGAAGGAGAGGGGTTCAAATATAGCGAGAGGAAAGCTTTGAGACCGAGTTCGGAGTCGTGATCGTGCCTGACCTTCACCTTCGGATACACTGAAAGTTGGAAACAAACATAAGTGGGAAAAACAAGAATTAGAAAAGCTGAAAAGGAAAAAGCGATTGAAATTACGGACTCGTTTGTTTGTTGCTCTGCGGAAGAAGATTGGATTAGAGAATCTAATAAGTGTAAAGAGGGAGAGAATAAAGAAAGCGTGCGAGGGTTGGGTTGTGAAGAAGGAATAGGAAACGGAAATTATGAGGAGTGATTCATTCCGTTCCCGCGTTGCACCTGGGGAAGGGAACTGTGGGGTCCACTCAGTTCATTACTCAACCACATTTTCAACGCTTCTTTCACCCTTCCTCTGCCTTTTTATTTTCTATTTAATCCACTTTTAATGACTTTTATTAGCCTCCAATATTTCCTAATAAATGTAAATATTACTATATCTTTTTTATAAAGGCTATACTAATACAATGACTCATCATGACCAAAAACTAAAGAAGAATAGGGTGAGATAACTAATGGAGTTATCATATTATGCCACATAAGATAAACATGTTCCAAAAGAAAACGCTACTTGTTAGTAGGTTGACTATTGACCTTTGACCGCTACTAAATGGTTGCTTAGCCTTTTTTTTGTTGTTGTTAGTTTGTGGGTTCTTAAATAATTTTATAATGTAATAATTATAAAAATATTAGTTTTAACTACTAAAGATAGTGATTGTGAGGTGAAGATAATATGGTCTAAGGTTCAAAATCGAACTCTAGTGTTATAATTTTTATACATAAAAAAAATGTTAATTTAGTTGCAAGTATTAAATTTGTCTTAAAAATATTTTATTCTAAAATTATCCTTTAAAAATTAGTTAAAACAACTAGACACTTTTTTGACAATATAAATAAATGTTAGTAAAAAATTTCAAATGTCTAATAAAGATTAAATTGTCTAACAAATTAAATTTTCGACATAAGTGAAATTATCCAAGTTTAAATATTTTATGGATATTTTTCTTTTTAATTTTTTTTAATTTTTAAGTGAGTCTTATAAAATACCTTACGTTTTTACAAATCATTAATAATTTATTTATTAACTTAATTTTTATTAAGTTATAAATTAAGAGATTTTTTAAAAAGTTTTATTGTATAATGTTTAAAGATATTTTTTAATTTTAATTTTTAATTAAAACAAACTCAAGCACGAGAGCTTCTATAAGTCTCAAGTGCTTAACCAAAGTGGACCGCAGTGAGAGATGCCACATGCACGAATCTTGGAGGAAATTTGGAATCGAAAATCTCATGTTGCGGAAGTTCTGAAGCATCAAAATCAAAATGTGAGATTTTCTCAAATTTGCATAAGAGTTACACCTTACATGATAACTTTTGTTTCACAAATTATAATTCCTAATGAAGGTAAGATTTATTTTTTTTATTTTTTTTTGCTTGATTCAAATTCATTCCGATCAAAGAATAAATTTGAATCAATTTAATTGATTTAATTTATATTATTAAATTTATTGAATTATCTAAAGTGGTAAACATTAATCCGTGAGAATAAGGGCCTGAAATGATGAAATGAAGCACAGCCCTAACAAGAAGAAAATAAGAGCAATAGCATGCAAGGAAATGAAGCAGCAGAACTAGCCTGCATGATGAAATAACCTACCTTAGCACTCAAACCAACAAAGTGTCCTGTTATGGTGTTATGAGGTAAACAACCCACACACTCAACAAGTAGAGAAGGTAGCAGAATTTCCATGTTATAATTTGATGAGAATGTATCCTAATAATCTACGGACCCTGATCATCTTTTCTTAAAACCATACTTTTTGCGCTCATAAAATAAATCAGTTTTGGCACTCCCTAAATTAACAATTTTGGGGCAACCATCTCTATCTTTCTCCTGCTGTGTGCATTCCTTGCAGTAGTAGGCATCGGATATTCCAACTCCACCGCATATGACACATCGACCCTGAAATGATCCGTAGTTGCATTCATCACAAACTCGGACAAGTGTACAAGGGCGCACATAAGAGTCACAGATCACACATTTGCCATCACATTTCTCACACAGTCGTCCAATGGCAATCCCTGGCTGCTTCCGGCACATAATCAAATCAGGATGATGCTTCGCCATATTTTCAATAACCTCCTACATGCTCAACAAATATATAAAGTAAGTACTGTCTACATTTTAAAGTTCAACAACATATAAAGTAAATCAGTAATTTATGCACTAATATATATATTAAGTTAAAAATAAAAAAAATATATATATAAAAAACTCTAAATTCATGCATTAATAATAAATATCACATTATAAAAATTGGACAACAAGAGACAGGTTTGCAGAAGCCGGAGAAGACAACAAGAGAGAGAATAATATGAAGAAAAGGGGTGAAGTCACCTGTGCTGAGAAGAGAACAACAAGGGTTGTGTTGCGGTGGAAGCGAAAGAGAGAAGCGAGAGAGAATGGAGCATAAAACGATAACAGGGAAAGGGAAAGGGAATGGTAGTTTTGACAACTAAAAAGCCCAAGCCCAAATTATAAAGATTTTTGGGGTTTGAACTTTTTAATGGGCCAAGGCCCTGGTTTACATTTAAGAAATACCATGATAAAGAGATAAATAATAAATATTGTGGTGGAAGTTGTTCCACAATTTTTAATTTTATTATATATGTAACATTATTTTAATATTTAAATAAATAAATAAATAAATAAAAACAGTTCCAAAACAGCGGCACGAGAAGAGCCGCCAAAAACAGAGGGAGGGCGAGGTATCGTCCCAAATCCCAATGGACGTTTACTAGTTCGTGCAACATGGACGTTCGTGCAATGGGCAATCGCTACCTTGCCCAACTCAGCCACCCCTCCGTCGCACGTGCCGTCCACGCCCACATCATCACCTCTGGCTTCCACCCATTCCCTCTCCTCCTCAACCGCCTCATCGACCACTACTGCAAATCCTCCAACCTCCCCTACGCCCGCCACCTGTTCGACAAAATCCCCAAACCAGACATCGTCGCCACCACCTCCCTCCTCTCCGCCTACTCCGCCTCCGGCAACATCCAACTCGCCCACCGCCTCTTCACCGCCGCACCCTTCACCATTCGCGACACCGTCAGCTACAACGCCATGATCACCGCCTTCTCCCACAGCCACGACGGCCACGCCGCTCTAAAACTCTTTACCCAGATGAAAAGGCACGGTTTTGTCCCCGACCCTTTTACCTTCTCCAGCGTCCTCGGCGCCTTGTCTTTGATAGCTGAAGAGGAGAGGCATTGCCAGCAATTGCACTGTGAGGTTCTCAAGTGGGGTGCACTGGCTGTGCCTTCTGTTTTGAATGCTCTCATGAGTTCTTATGTTTGCTGCGCCTCTTCGCCGTTGGTGGACTCTTCTCTGTTGATGGCTGCTGCTAGGAAGCTCTTCGACGAGGCGCCGGCTAGTAGGGATGAGCCTTCTTGGACTACCATCATTGCTGGCTATGTCAGGAATGGTGATCTTGCGGCGGCGCGTGAGCTTCTTGATGGAATGACTGACCACATTGCCGTTGCTTGGAATGCCATGATTTCCGGCTATGTGCACCGCGGTTTTTATGAGGCGGCGTTTGACTTGTCCCGGAGGATGCATTCCTTGGGAATTCAGCAGGATGAGTATACTTACACGAGTGTGATTAGTGCTGCTTCGAATGCTGGCTTGTTTAATGTTGGAAGGCAAGTGCATGCTTATGTTCTCAGGACAGTGGTGCAGCCTTCACGGCATTTTGTTGTATCTGTGAATAATGTCTTGATTACTTTCTACACTAGATTTGGTAAACTGGTTGAGGCGAGACGAGTTTTCGATAGGATGCCTGTGAAGGATCTTGTTTCGTGGAATGCGATTTTGTCTGGATATGTGAATGCGCGGCGCATTGAGGAAGCTAACTCCATTTTCAGAGAGATGCCCGAGAGGAGCCTGCTGACGTGGACTGTGATGATATCGGGCTTAGCGCAGAGTGGTTTTGGAGAAGAAGGTTTGAAGCTGTTCAACCAGATGAAGTTAGAGAGATTAGAACCGTGTGATTATGCATATGCTGGAGCAGTTACCTCTTGTGCTGTTCTTGGATCGTTAGACAATGGACAACAACTACATTCTCAGATTATTCAATTGGGTCATGATTCAAGCCTATCGGTTGGCAATGCACTGATTACAATGTATGCGAGGTGTGGTCTTGTTGAAGCTGCCGATACAGTGTTTCTTACAATGCCATATGTGGATTCAGTATCCTGGAATGCAATGATTGCAGCTCTTGCTCAGCATGGACATGGTATCCAAGCCATTCAACTTTATGAAAAGATGTTGAAGGAAGATATTTTACCGGATAGGATAACTTTTCTCACAATTCTTTCTGCTTGTAGCCACGCAGGTTTGGTCAAAGAGGGACGGCATTATTTTGAAACAATGAAAAGTCGTTATGGTATAACCCCAGAAGAGGATCATTATGCTCGTTTGATTGATTTGTTATGTCGTGCTGGTTTGTTCTTAGAAGCAAAGAATGTCACTGAATCAATGTCTTTTGAGCCTGGAGCACCAATTTGGGAGGCTCTTCTTGCTGGTTGCCGGATTCATGGAAACATGGAATTAGGTACACAAGCTGCAGAACGACTCTTGAAGCTTATTCCGCAGCAAGATGGAACCTACATAACCCTTTCAAATATGTATGCCACTTTAGGTCAGTGGGATGAAGTTGCGAGGGTAAGGCAATTAATGAGGGAGCGAGGGGTTAAGAAGGAACCTGGTTGTAGTTGGGTTGAGGTTGAAAACATGGTCCATGTCTTTTTGGTTGATGATGCTGTGCACCCTGAGGTGCATGCAGTGTACAAATATCTGGAGCAACTGGTACAACAAATGAGAAAATTGGGTTATGTTCCTGATACAAAGTATGTATTACATGACATGGAATCTGAACAAAAGGAATATGCTTTGTCTACTCATAGCGAAAAGCTTGCTGTTGTTTATGGAATTATGAAACTTCCTTTAGGAGCTACAATTCGGGTTTTCAAAAACTTGAGGATATGTGGGGACTGTCATAATGCATTCAAGTTTATTTCCAAAGTAGTGGAGCGAGAGATAGTTGTGAGAGATAGGAAGAGGTTTCACCATTTTAGAAATGGTGAATGTTCTTGCGGCAATTACTGGTAGGAAGAGGTTCTGTAATTTGATTATCATCAAGTGTTGACTATTGAGCTTTAGCAGCTGCATCAGGCGCTGCAATTCAATACAGGCTCACATGGTTCCTAGCTGTGGTGTTGCATGCCAACCCGGTGGCCATCGCTTTGGCAAAGTGAAAAGGGGCAAATGAGGTAGTGCTCAGTTTAAATGCCCAGGCAGCAGAACAGTGACGCCGAAGCTAATTTGAAATGAAAAGAAACAAAATTATGTGCCCTGTTATTGGCTTCTGGTCAGTGCTCGTCATTCTGCAAGAGAGCTCGAAGCAGAACACAATTGACGTCTGAACAAGAAGCAGAGAAGCTCTAGTTAAGCTCTCTTACGCATAATGCATGGCTGCTTCTAATAAAAAGCGAGATTGGTGATCATTGAAATCATCTCACCAACATTTGGCGTGTTCAATATATAGAACAATCTGAGGGTGCCCAATCAAAATAATGAAAAATTATGTTATTTGAACATTTTACAATTACAGATAAATGAAATAATGTTTTTCTTTGGAAGTTACGAATAAAAAGAAATAAAAGAGTGACTCGGTGCTACTAGTGTCTCGACTCATTATCCTATATTCATCTCTCTATGACACGTGAAATTCATAATGAACAAATCTATTGTCGAAGGTCAATGAATTTCTCCAGGAACTTTGTTTTCCCCAAAGTTTAATGAACGAATCGATTATGGAAACAACAAAGAATATTCCGCATGGGAAATTAACCATGAAGTATCGGTACGATCTCAACGAAAATGGATCATAAAACACTCAAAAGTAAGGGGGAGAAATTCTTGCTTCCAGCCCAACAAATCATAAACCGAAAATAGTAGTATGATTTCTCAAATTATATTTTAGGTCATGGAAGCATAATAACAACATCATAAGAATAAATAATATATGCATCGCGTAGTTTTTATAAATTTTAACTAATAGGAGATAATGTGTTGTAGTGTATGATGGAACTCTAAAAATAGTGAAGAGAAATATAAATGTTTGATAACTTCTTTAATGCACATTAAAATTCTCTTCTTTTTTTCTATTCCATAAATGACTTCTTTATAGATTTTTGTAAAGATAAATATTGCGACTTAAATTGCTGTATAAAAAAAAATCGTGACTTAAATTTGTAGAGGATAATTGTAAACGAGTCGAGCAGTTTAGGTTTAGTTTGTAAAAAAAATAAAATAGACTCATTTAGTTTATAATTTTTAAAACTGAAAGTTTAAGTTTGGATTGTTCCATTAAATAAAAAAAGTTTGGATTGCTTAGTTCATTCATAATTTTTTGTTTTGTTTTGTTTTTTTTAACTATTTTTTTACTATATTAATTTAGTATTTAATATAATTTACATGCTAATTAAGAAAATTAATTGACATACTTTAATTTTACTAATCGGATTTAAAAAAAATATTTTTTCCTACATCTTTTTTCATTAAAATTTGATATTAAAAAAATAACGATTGAAAATAGATCTCAATTAAATAAAGAATATTTTGAATATGATATTAAATATGACAAAAATAATTAATATTTATCTATGCTTTAGTTCACCATTCATACTTTAGCATAATGCAAACTTCACAGAATTCAGAATTTTGAATAAGATAACTTACAAACCATCACAAGACAATGCGTCAAATGATCTTTATATGATACGGTGATACCTTAATGTAAAGCTCGAATTATACACGTATATCTAAGTATTATTTTGCAATTAAGAAATACAATAACCTATGTGACAAAGACTATGTTTACAAATTACAAATAGGGCATCTTTTGCACAATCCAAGAGCCGGTTAAAGTGTCTCTTCATTTCGTTGAATATACTTTCGGCAGAAGAATAGGTTTGATGATTTCATCCAAAGAGAAGATCCGATGGTGACAATATTCTGATAAAACTTAGACCGCTCCTATTGAACTTGACATAAGCTAAACCCAACTTTAACACCTTAACCATTTTGAACTATATTTAATGGTGAAGGCCCAAAATGTTAATTATTATAAAAGTTAACAATCTTACTATGCAGTCGAAAGACAATGTTAATGCATAATCTTTCTTCTCATGTAATATTTGTCGCACTATTTCCTTTTTCTTCTCAATATTTCTGAGAAAAGAATTTGCAAATAGGCCAAACATCAGCATTTTCCCACAACCATGTAGGAATGCAGAAGACTTAAGGCACATGCCAATGCCATGATTCCAATGATAAACGCCTCCATGTCTTTTGTTTGCAAGAGACTTTTCAGGTTAATGCCACACAGAAACCCCAAATACTGTGCCACTTTTGCTTCTCCCCTCGGTAATCTAAATGTTTAGTTAATTGGCATTGACTTGAAGTTGTGTATCTGTCATTGTCTACCCTAAACACAAAAACCAAAACATGTGTGTTGGGGAGGGGAAACCGGGAAGAAAAGAGAGAGGGTGCTGCAACTTGCAACTTTTTAAAAAGTTAAAGTTAGTGAAGCAAATACAAATAGAGACTCAGTACTATAGTATGTAGACAAGGGAAAAGAGAATCATCCACATGGATAAAGAAATAGGCACAAAATTTTCACCCATTCAGGATGACAAACATTCATTCCTCTAGGTATATTTCTTTTTTCACCTTGTAATGTAAAAAAAATTCTCACTTTCATGAGCTAATTACACCGTTCTTCACAACAAAATCTTCTTAACTAACTACAAGAATTAGTAGTCCCCACTTTTAACCGCCCTAGATTCTTTCCCTATCTTCTAAAGTCTAAT